TAGTATAAGCCATAGTCTAAGCTCCTAGTATCCCCTTTAATAAGCCCTATAATAGTCCCCTGTATAATCCCCTTTCTAACCCCCGCTTAACGAGTGCAGACTATAGCTCATGTGATTTAATGGTTTGGGGTTCACAGTATGTACTGCCATCCAAAGCCAACTGGCACCGGAAGAGGGAGCCTATCAAGACTAGTCTCCTGTGCAACAAGGTTCCTAGGGTTCAGGGTTTGGGTGTTTCTTGTGGAGTAGTGCAGGGTTTACCAGGTCTGCTGCAATAAAGATACAACAAGTACGAAATGAATATGTGATGCTCGCAAGCATGTTTTGCAACCAGTGGAAAATTTCACATCCTTGATCTTATCGCCCGGTGAAAGCAGCTCCTCCCGCACAGCCCCCCCAAAAAAATAACCATGGTTATTGGTGGATCCTACAAATACTTTGCAGGGACAATAGCTACGTGACTTAAAGGACTAGCAGGTGCCATCAGCGCTGCCGCGCCGAGATAGAAAACCAGCAGAAAAGTACCTAAAGTAGCCCTTTTCCGAAGGGGTCTGATAAAAATGTATGCATGCACGCCAAAGGGTCCAAACATGTACATAGTACATGTTTAGGGCTCAAAGGGGCTCGCATAAATCTACTTTGCGCCAAGGGTACATACTACAGAAGTACACGGACCTTTCGGATGCCTACCGAACCCTCTACACCGCCAGTACATTTTCCCAAGTCACAAGCATCCCTAATTGTTCGAAGCTTCGCGGCTAAGGAAAATGGTTCTGGGAATAACTACATAGAAACCCTTCTGAGCGTCTATCTGAGCCGATCCCGATCATCTAATTTAAAGCTAGGGTCCAAATTTGTTTGCAGTGGCGGGCCCCACCCCCTTCCACTAATGATGGTCTTGTTTTTGTCACGGGGGGGTGCGACACTAATCAGGAATCCACATTAGGATTTTCATGCTTACTTGACGGACTTGATGCACAAAGTGCATGCAGCGGAGGATCCTACAAACCCAATCTAAAAGAGTAGAACACATTGGTCTGGGATGCTGCGAAGGAATCTAACTTAAGGTACTATATTCGGGAAACCCTACAAGCCACTATATATATATGTATATATACCTTTATGGTAACCTGTTTTAAGCTCATTCACAACACCCCAGCATTGACATCCAGACTTTGCTGCCCTGTTCCTGCCCCAGTGAACTTCATGAGGAGCACGTCATTATAGCCAGCATTTCTTTGGCCATCAAGAGCGCCACGAGTGTCGCCGGCAACCTCAGCACCATGCGGCCTTGTATGTATGATGGTCTGCTACCTGTAGCCAGTTAGGAATCTACCTCAATATTGGAAAATACCATGGAAAATGACACGGAAACCAGAATCATATATGGGCTCAAAAGGTTTATGTAACCGTATCCCCAATACCTACAGTTTTTTGGGGTACACCCATCAATTTAAGCGGCAACTACCACTGAACTGTAGGTAGTGGGGTTACAGGCACACAACGTTCCCCCAGCTTCCTTGTGAAGAGGCTCTCGGAGTTGAAATTAGTAGGAAGTATGCGATACATGGTGCTTTCAGTGTATACGTGTTTGCCGCTGTTTGCCAGACTTCTACGACACAACAGAATGTCGGCGTTCCGCAAACTCACAAAGCAACCATGTCAAGTTACCACGATGTCACCGGCTTCCGTCATCTGCACAGCAGCTGCATGGTCCTGCGGGTCTTGTTTGGTTAGTGGGGTTCCTGGTTGCGGAAAGGGGTAAGGCAACCGCTCGTGCACATTGATAATCAGAGGATTTTGGTAACCCCCCAACCCAAAAGAAGGACCCTCTATTACTGTCATATGACTTTCTCAGAAGGGCCCAGAAATACCACATTTGGGGAAGAACCCTCCAACCCCTTAAACATCGGCTCCAAGTTCGATGCAGCTTGTCGCCAGTAGGGAATGAACCATATTATTGGCGATCATATAGGGCCTAGGATGGGATCCATTCCTTCATTCTCTGCAATACTCCTGAGACCCTTTAGCACTGCCCTAAAAGTCGAAGTACCTGCAGTAGATAGTCTGGGTCCCAAGCAGCTACATAGCAACCCATTTGCAGAGTGTACCCCAGGGGGGGGAACGGGGGAACGGAACTGGGGGGGGTTCGG